CCTTATATCATCGAAGGGGTAGGCAGAGGTGCACATTATACCATTGTACAATGTAACACCCACTTTTCACTATTTATGTTATGAGTCCCATGTAATAGGGGGTGAGCCTATTGCCATATACCGGGCACAGTTCCAGACTCCGTGCTACTACTGAGAATTTTTTAAAAACCCAGTAATACTTTGCCCGACCCGGGAATCGAACCCGAGACCCCTTACCCGGCAGTCGCAATTGCGACCACTCGGCCAACGAGGCAGTCTGAATACGAACGAATTAAAAAACGAGTTTAAATAATATATTAATAGAATTTATATTAATAAGTGTATTAATATAATATATTTAATATAAATTCTATTAATAAGTGTATTAATAGAATTTGGTAGCATAACATACCATTATGATTCAGTTCTTTAAGGACTGTCTGTTGTCTCGACTGCTGGCTCGTGGATGGTACTGGCTGTACGTCAAGTAGAAGATCTGTAAGATAAATTGTGGTTTGAAATTATTAAGTTTCGATGTGCCAATTATTCACATATCAGTATTAATTTTGAATAATAGAAGTATCTTAATTTTCTATACAATTAAGTGCAATAAACATTTTTGATGACGCTTCAGTCATATGGAGAATGGAAATAATCCCACATTTCATGCAACCCAGTTTAATATTTCTCCTCAGATCATCTCGAAAGGTTTATACAAGGGAATAAGGGATATTTGTCTAATGAGGTATTAAATTACATACCAGACTCCACTTTCTAAATATTTTCGATCTGTTCAGTAGCTGGTGGAATTTCTAAAGCAAAATAAAGCTGTTTTGGTTACTTATTTTTGAAAAATATTAATAACAAAATTATTTATAAGTAAATAAAAAAAAATGAGTAGCCTGACGAAGACACAGTGCAGAATGTCTTGAGTATCCAAATTATTTCCTGAGTGCTTAAGATTTTTTCTTAATTTTGTTATGAGTCCTAAATGAGAAATTGTACCTGTTTTTAATAACTGTATAACATGGCTTAGAACATATCGTTTATCAATATGTGAAAATATGGGAGTAAAATTTACACAATTCATCTTTCATTTAGAATCCTACGAAAATTTATTACTTTTCTAAAAGTTTATAAAGGGTAATGGGTAATTTTGGACCCACCTTTCAATATAAATAAGATACCTCTCTATGGATACTTATTCTTTTGCAGGATAAAACTTAATTTTATGAATAAGGTTAAAAGTCTGTGATTTCGAAGACATAGTGCCTATTACATTTCCAAAAAAGTGATCCTGATCTAAGTAATCGTTGATCTTATTTGTGAAATAAACATTGCAAAACTCATTTTTTACTTTCCTACTTCTGCTCTACAACGCTACTACCTTCTACCAGTACATACTAGGAATGGAGTTTGTTAGTAAATTGCCACTCATCCAAAAACTAACCTCAAGCATATTTATTTATTTTATTTATTTATTAATTTATGTACACACATTCAACACAGAGGACAAATATATAATAAAAAACAGAGTACATAGGCCCCACATATTCCAACTGGAATTTCTTCCTGTGGGCCTGTGGCAGGAAAAGAAATAACAACATTGAGACACATAGTGTGTTACACAAACAATATAAAAATCAATTAATAAAAAAATAAGTAATAAGACCGAAGAAACCAATAGAATTAACAATAATAAACAATAAAACAAATTAATATAATACAATTATAATACATATATAAAAAAATACAGAAAAACAAATCTATATTTCAAGAGGAAAGATAATGTTCTCTCACTTGTCTCTTAAAGATAGAGATAGACTTGGCGTCCCGAATGTTCGGCGGGAGCGAGTTCCATAGTCTCACTGCATGAACGGAGAAGGAGTAGGAGTAGAAGTCGGTATTATGGGGCACAATTTTAACATAGGATTTAAGATGAGAACGAGTAAGGACTTCAGGAGGGCGCACCAAGGAGAAACGCTCTCGAAGATAAGTAGGATAGGCTGTAGTATTTACATACTCGGGGATCGACTCGTATACGTTAATATAACGCAATGAGCTCCTCTGGTATTCTATTGGATTGTAGTATTAGGTAGAAATATCATCTACGAACATAATTAAATAATCTTCTCCAAAGACTGGTTGAAAAATAGAGTAGATGCCTAATTTTTATTTTAATGTCCATTTCATTTGTTTAAATTCTTTTAAAACATTAGTCACGTATTTTACATAAAACATAATAATATTTTACATTCAATAAAAACATAAATTTATGTAAGTAAATAAGAATAGAAAAAAATATTATAATGAAATAAATACATATTACATAATGAGTTGATTGATATTTAAATAAAGAATATTAGAGCATTAAAAAATTAATGTACAACAGTTAATAGATGTAAGTAGGTAAGTTAGAAGTATGCAGTTGAGATTAATCCAATAGTAATGCTAAGATTAGAATAATAATTTAAATTGTCAAAGTTATATTTAGTAAGAGATAAATTGTTTGAATATTAATGCATGCATGCGTCCTAGCTCGTGCTGTGCTCAATGGGGTCCATAATTTAATGTAATACCTTTATTTAGAATGTGGAAAAACAATAAAGATATTGAGTTTTGAACCATAAAGAATACTTAGACTTTAGGATGTTGTACCTCTGAAACCACAGACATTTTACCATAGGTATATTAGTAACTAATGTTTAATTTTAAAAATCCTATCTGATGACATATGACATGTTGATATTGAGGGGTAGGCCCAGACTTCATACATTTGTTTCTCAAATCTGTCCTTTCCTAAAAAATTTATAAACTTACGGAATTTGGTATTTTCCGGTGATGTAAGTATACAAATGAATTACTGTTCTCGACTTCGTAAATGATTAAGCCAATGTTGGACTTGAAATATTCATAACACTTAAGGGAAGATTTGAATTGTTATAAAACAGAAAATTCACACAAAACAGAAGATTGACATAATATAATATTAATTGATGTATGCTAGCCAGATCAACTGGTTTATGGTAGAAATAAACTATAGAATTTATTTATTCAATTTACCTTTTGATCCTGAATATTTAAACACATGCTGTGGAAATTCTGCCAATTGTACATCAGTGAGAAGTAAGGCCGTCAAATTTAAAGTTGGGATTGCATTTCTTTTCAGACGATTGCCTTTTTTGTTGTAATCCTGTTTTCTAAAGTGGTTAGCACAAACACTTCGGTTCTCATGCAATTGTTCTATTGGTAGATGAACCAATTCTTCATTTCCAACTGCTTTTAGTCAGTCTCGGCAACTGAAACACAAAAAATTAATGTTTACTCTAAATAACTACCAAACTATGTAATAGCACAATATATAAACATAAAAATTTGTATCATACTCTTACTTCTTTATATTTATTTACAAAACGGTCTTACGGGTGGATAATAAGCATTTAAAGAATTTTATTCCAATAAGGACATGCATTTAAATTTCACTTCTGTGTTCACGATGATGCTAATAAACATTATTTACATGTAACACAAAAACCTCACTCGCTCGCTTAAAGAAATTTTACCCCAGCATTAGCAACATCTATAGTTGTGTGCGGTGTTCGAATATTAATGCACATTATTTCTTTTAGTCTTAAGTTAGAACTTTAATTAAAAAATGTGGGTTAATCTGTAATTGGTGACCGTATTAAACTGTAAAAACCAAAAACTGATTATTGCCTACATATGTTTTAATACAGAAGTATACAGAGGCTTAACGTTTATATTTAAAAAACAAATAAAATTGTTCTCCTTATAAGCAGGTAGTACCATAACTCGCAAAAGGTTAGTTCTTTTTATAATTGTAGAGTCATTATACAGTCATTAATGGGATTTTCGACAATATCAATACAATAAGTTAGAAATGTAATAAATTTGACAGAAAAGAATAGGTTAACCTGCTTACGACCGTACATCTCTGTGTACCTTTACAGTGGGTAAAAGATTTGATGTTTTGTTTGATGTATCAATTCAAGTACTACAGTGATGATTGTAACATTAACGAAATTAAGTGATTGATAACCTAAATTCCAAACATTTAAAGTGTGATTTTCTCAACAACTCCATACATTATAAACTCGTAATATACTAAAAATTTCATTTCTGTCGGATGAACATTCAATTTGCATACCAAGGTGCTCATGGTCCTTTCATGTTTTAAAACTTTATTTGAATTCAGCTAATCTTAATTGACGGTTCGAAAGTATCGTATAAGCGATGAATTGAATTATAAATTCACATTTCCATTAACAATGGGTAGTAAGTAGGTACACACCGATTTGGATCCAGATGAAAATGGGAAAAATGTAGTTTGTTAGCAGTAGGCCAAGATTCGTTCGTATGGCAAATTTCACAACGTCTGTGACCTTTGCCCATGATGATGTACAAGGTATTCACAAACACAAACTTAGAGTCACTGTCTCGGTAATAGGTAATAATAACAAATTAATATAAAAGAGTCAAATATCTCACAAGAATCACTTACACTAACAGAGTCAATGTCTCAATAAAACCACGTGAAGATGAAACGGAGGAACAGTTGCTCGACTCAACGTTAAACACACAATAAAATAAATTATTCTATTAGGTTAAATTCCGAAATCACAAGGAAAAAGGAAAAAACAAACAGAATAATCACAACACAAAAATTTGCACAAAGACGGCAGCCATGTTGTGTCAATTATCGGGAGTACTAAGTACCAAGTTCGTTTTGTTGTGTTGGTACCTCAACGTTTTTCTGAATGTTGGTACACTGAATGTTACGGACTCCATACAAAATAATGTTTGTTCTAAGTTTCACAAGACTGGTTGTGAGCTTTGAGCCGGTCGTTTCTATCGAGGGTTGATACTTTGATAGATAACGATTTGATTGACAGTTAAAAATAATTACTTTTATTGGTGAATAGTCGAGATCGGTATTAATTTTATTGAAATTAATTAAACGCTGTAAATATTTTGTTGTGTGTGGTGTGATAAACGTAACAATGATAATTCCAAGCCCGTTTGTTTATTGGGCTCAAACTGAGAGTGCCATTTCATTAAAAATAGAATTAAAAAATGTTGTGGATCCTGATGTGAAAGTTCTCGAAAATAATTTGAAATTCTCGGCCCAAGGTGTTGGTGCCCGAGGCGAGAGTTTATACGAATTTAGTTTGGATTTATTTTCACCTGTTAAAAATGTAAGCATCACGTCCTTATCAAATTATTTAATGCCGAACTAAATCCGGTTTATCTACGATTTAATAGATTAATTTTCGATGAATATTTTCAATTTCTGTTGCTATGCGATTTCTATATGTTTACTTTATGACTTTCGAAAATATGCAATATTCGTTAACTCAATGTTTTGATTCTCCACAATATTATGAAGTTATACAGTCTTAATATAGTTATTACTGGGCTCGCTGCCATTGCAGCGGTAAGTCCCCTCTTTGAGGAGTGGCTTGAGAGACGCTACGGCGTCCTCACCTACCGCCTGACGCAGGTCCTCACCGGACATGGAAGTTTCGGGAGGTACCTGTGTCTGATGGGGCGGGAGGAAACGCCCGGGTGTCATCACTGCGAGGACCCGCCCTGAGGACACGGTGGAACACACCGTAGCGGAATGCCCTGCGTGGGCTGAGCACCGCCGTGCCCTCAGGGAAGTGATCGGCGATGGCGACCTCTCGCGTCCGGGCCTAGTGCAGGCCATGATGCGGAGCGAGGGGAACTGGGATGCCGTCTCCTCCTTTTGCGAAGCAGTCATGCTAGCTAAGGAGGAGGCGGGACGCGTGAGGCAGCGAAGCGCTGCCTCCTCGCGACCCAGCCATCGCGAAGGACACACCGGGCGTCGGGGATCGCGGGACGATCTCCGGCCACCGTAAGCGCGGGCCTGCGGACGGCGAGCATGGGTGGCTCCCCGTCCGACCAGAAACAGACCCGAGCGTACGGCGCGTCGCGTTCCGCGCGCGCCTCAAAGAGCCATCAGACCACCACAGATGGGGCCCAATAGGGCCGATGCCGATTCGGAGTCGCGGAGAACCTAACGGGTAACCGGGGCTCCGGCTCGACGTGCAGGAGAAGGAACGGGGTGGTTTTTAGTCAGTAAGAGTCTGACACTCCCTTCCGCCTCACCCAGGCGGGAGCAGTCATTCGATGATTTTCCCCCCTTAAAAAAAAAAAAAAAATATAGTTATTACCATCCAATAGGAACTACTTTTCCTGGGTTAAATGGAAACCGTATTTCAATGATTAATCATTTACTTACTTAACCATCTTGCCAGTGAAAACTAATAAAATAGTATTGTAGAAGAAGAAAAGCCTGTCCTGTATGTAACATAAAACTTATTTTTTTAATTAAAAGCATAATAATCAACCTGAAATAATCATTAGAATCATTTTAATACTGATACTATATTTTCTAACATATTAAAAACTTGTTTACCTTGTATAAACAACGGTTATAAAATTAGAAGGCCAATCTTATATCTAATAGGAAACCGGTTTATAGTTATAAGTAAAGAATTCTGCTTTATAAAATACTAAATGAAATTTAAAAAATCTTGCTAATACTACTATTCATGTTTAAACACCATTGGAATATGGCATTAGGCTCACTCCCTCTCATAACATAAATAGTGAAAAGTGGGTGTTACATTGTACAGTGGCATAATGTACACCTCTGGCTACCCCTTCACGGATAAAAAGCCTGATGTTATGTTATGTAAACCCCATTTGTTTGATCTTTTATACATATTCCACAAAGGTGATTTATTATGTTAAGAGAAAGGATGATATTACTCAGACAATGAGACTTATAACAATAATCTAATTTGAATTTAAATTTGAATCTATTAATGTTATATAAAAAAGCCAGCATAATGTAAAGATTTGTCTGTCGCTATATTATGATGTCTAAAAAGACAAAACCATCTCTCACTAAGAAGAAATTTCCTCAATTTCAGGCTGAAAACAATCATGTTACAACAGTCCGTGTGTTCGAGAACCGAGTGGACATTGTCTTGCAGAAAGAGAAGGCAGCATGGTGGCCCCGACTTACTGCCCAGCCACAGAAACCTGCATGGCTAAAGGTAAGTCCTATAACTACTTCTATTTTTATCATCCTCAGCCTTTATATTTTCTTCAAGCCCAATCAAAACCTGATACTTTTCGCTTATCATAATACCTTATTGTAGTTAGCTAAAACAAATGAAAGTGTATTAAATCGGCTACACGTTTTTTCATAACTGACATACTCACAGTAGAGTATAATAAGACTCACCAAAACCCTGAGTGTATAATACATCGCTATTAGCTTATTTACCCTTTTTATTAAGTACTAGCTACTTCCGCGCAGTTTCACTCCGTCTGCTCAGCTCCTATTGGTCGTAGCGTGATTTTTTATAGCCTATAGCCATCCTCGATAAATGCGCTATCCAACACAAAAAGAATTATTCAAATCAGACTTGTAGTTACGGTGATTAGCGCGTTCAAACAAACAAACAAAAAAACAAACTCTTCCGCTTTATATAATAGTATAAGACTAGCTTTTGCCCGCAACTTCGTCCGCGCTTTAATAACATTATATTACTAAAAACGGAGCCTTTATCATGGCTTGGAACTAGTTGATTTCCTCATCAGACTGTTCCTTAAGTAAGCTTAAAACATAATAATTACTAAAAACTGATAATAAAGAAGTAAATTATAATAATTATTTATTACATCTGGAAAGATCTTCATAATTTAGATGTTATTTTATCACTAATTGACTTATCTAGTACAAAGATTAGACCTTGGTATCTGTTGGGATATATTATCATAAATATTAGTAATCAACATGATAGCAATTACATATCTGCTACACATAGTTAATACTTAGGTATCCATACATAGGATGTATTACATAATCTTAGTAACACGACTAGCTGTTTAGACATAACATAACATCACGCCTTTTATCCCCTAAGGGGTAGCAGAGGTGCACATTACGGCACTTGAGTAATGCCATTGTACAATGTAACTCCCACTTTTCACTATTTATGTTATGAGTCACATGTAACAGGGGGTGAGCCTATTGCCAATATACCGGACACATTTCCAGACTCCGAGCTACTACTGAGATTTAAAAAAAACCCAGTAATATCTTGCCCGACTCGGGAATCGAACCCGAGACAGTCGCAATTGCGACCACTCGGCCAATGAGGCAGTCAAGCTAGCTGTTGAGACTTGGTAATAAAAATAAGAAAATTGTCATTTTGTACTCAGTTAAAAAACGTGGTACTTTAATAACTTGTTAACCTTGATCTTGATCTTAGTTCATGATTGCTTTATAACAAACTTGAATGTGTTTTATTTAGCAAACTGTACTAATTATAGATTAAAAGTACATACCAGTTTACAAAAAAGCTATGATTCCTTGAAAAATCACATAGGTATCTATTAGTTTTCTAGTCTATGCAAGTGCGACTGCCGAGCTAGGGGTCTCGGGTTCGATTCCCGGGTCGGGTAAACTTTTCAGTAGTAACACGTATTTTGGAATTGTGCCCGGCTATAGTGAGAAGTGGGTGTTATACTGTACAGTGGCATTAAGTGCCATAATGTGCACTTCTGGCTACCCCTTTGGGGATAAAAAGGTTACCTTCAATAGTAATTTGCTTTTGGAATAATTAAGTAAATAATACCTACATAATAAATAATAAAAACCAACTAAATAATGAATAGGCCAAAAGTGTGAAGCAATCAATAATATTTTACAGATCAACTTTGATTTATGGAAATCGGAAGACGCTGCTGATAGTGAGGATGAGAAACGTGACGTCATGAAGGACTACCCTGGCATGTACGACAGGCTTCATAAAGAGGAACTGGGTTATAGGAGAGGTTCGTAATATATCATGTATTCTCTTTAAATGGCACAGGATAACCTGACGTAGGCCGTCCATCCGCAAGTAGGACAGACAACTTGCTGCTGTAGCCAAATGTCATTTAGCGCTTGTCTACTTGTACAGTAGAAAACTAAATTGCTCGACGTGCAGGAGAAGGAACGGGGTGGTTTTTAGTCAGTAAGAGTCTGACACTCCTCCCGCCTCACCCAGGCGGGAGCAGTCATTCGATCATTATCCACCTTTAAAAAAAAGTATACCTTTAAGGGGCTCGTACACAAAATAGCGATGCGATGCGAATTCGCAACGCAAAAAATTACGATGCGTATTGCGATGCGATTTCGTGCGACAAGGCGTCTCCCAGGGTGACCTTTCCTTCGATGACCGTCAACCGTAGATACTAAACGTATTTTAAATTGTAAACTAGGTCGTGACATGGATGGTAAAAAGAAGTGTGCACTTCTGTTATTGATTATGAGATACAGAAGATTTTGGGAAGATAAGATTTCGATGCGCGATGCGAATCAATTTGTAAGTTCTTGCGATGCGTAGAGGGAGCTCGACGTCGCATCGCAGTTTTGTGTACTAATATACTCTAAATATACCTATTCGGGGAAAAGGTGAATGTCTGAATGGCATCCACTGTCACTGTAAAGATTTCATAGTGTTTGGTTTAAAGTTTAAAGGAAACATTTTTGTTTATAAATTGGTAGGGTATTGTGCGAACACAATCAACAAAGCAATGCTTAGTGAACAATCGCTCAAATGTCACTAAATAATGGGGTATGGGTATAAAGAATTTTATAAACAAAATTCCTATGTTTAGCCAAATATAAGGTTCAAAGTTATTCACAACATGATTAAAATCCCACACCATTATTTTATCATTTCATCATTTTCAAGTGTGGGAGAGCCATGCTTCGGCACGAATGGACCGGCTCGACCGGAGTGATACCACGGCCTCACAGAAAACCGACGTGAAGTAACGCTTGCGTTGTGTTTCGTCGAGTGAGTAAGGTTACCGGAGGCCCAATTACCCTCCCCTTCCCCAATCTCCCCAATTCCTGAATCCCCAATAAAAAGGCCAAAAGGCCGGTAACGCCTCTGGTGTTCCAGGTGTCCATGGGCGACGCCGAAAAAAAATCATACTCGTGTGTCGTGGGTGCATTTTCAAACATACAATTCTGAAATCTCATCACAATACCGTACCGTGTATGTGCCGTGCGACCACCCCATAACCCGTTGCGCAAAAGTATGTTGCCCAACTCCCTGACCACGTAGACACTTAAAATAATAAAAAATAAATAAAAATATGTTTATTGACAAAAAGCTTCACATTACATTTTTGTATGGCCCTGAACCCCACACTAGGATTCCCTGTGTCGTGAGAGTTAAAGTAATGATGAATAACATAACGAGTATACGCGAATAAGTATAAAAAATAATATATGTCAGCAGCCATTACAATGGCACTTACAACATATTTTTTTGTAGAAATGCGCTCTTTATGTATGTACTTACCTATTTACCTAAATACATGTGCATTTCAACACTTGATTTAAATAGAATGGTCATGAATATGTTTGCATAATATGTGAAAATTTCAAGTGTATGTTAACATGAGTTTCATTTTGTGAATTCATGCTGTTCTGTACAGTTTTGCTGAAATGAAAGTCGAAGTATTGATATTGACTTTAGCTTTGCATTGCAGTTAGATTTTCGATGAACTTCTGAGGAAGAAGTCATTGGTTCTATCCGTTACTTAAAATTCATCGTCAATGAAGTTGATTTCAACATTGTCCTCAATATTGATCAATCACTTATCATTTGACTCGACTAAATTTACTTACAATGACGAAATTCAAAAGAAAATTGAGAACTATGACCGGTCAATGAACTGTAGGGGGACATCTTATTAGCATGCCAAGAATTATGAGAATTATGGCAATAACTTCTTCAATCTAAACTAAATTAGAGATCTGCCTATTTCTTCTCGCATAAAAAGCTCTAGCGTTCCGAGTGTCTTTGGGCGACGCTGATCACTTACTCATGTCACGTAAAATCGTTCACAGTTCACATCGTTCGTTCCCTATACTCCAGAAATAAAAATTAAGTCATCAACAGCCTATAAATGCCTACTGCTGACCAAAGGCCTCTTCTCACACGGAGAAGGTTTGAGCATTAACCTTTTCGCCGCCAACAACTTCTATAGAAGTTCAGGATTTTCGTGCCGTCCACGCCACTACTTCTATAGAAGTTCATTGTATCTACCTACTATAAAAAATACATTTACGATACATAAAACATTTGTTTCTTTGTAATTTTGTAATATGGACACGACGAACTATTTTTTCTCATGCAAAACAGACTATTTTCTGTTTTAAAAAGGTAAAACATAAAAGGTTTCAAATAATTTTATATCCCGCACGCCAACGACTTCATATCAAGTAGGCCAGTGATGTGACGCGTAAGGAGCATTCATTAGAATCTTTATTTACTATAATATTTGTTTTCTTTTCCATCCAATAGTTTTTTGAATTCTATGAATAAAAAGAAATTCCGGTCAGTAAATAACGTATTACAATGCGTTTCAAAATTAATGTACATCTACCTATCAAATCATTTCATTAAAATTAATTATTATGTACTGAGGGTTTTCGATATTGCTAGACCCATCTCTACGTAATGGCAAGATGTCGAGTGACACTAGCGCCGTCAACTTCAATAGAAGTAAACCTGTGACGTCGTAAGCGCTTAGGCGTCAAGGTCATTGTGTCATAGTTCCGGGCGACGCGTGCACGCACGCAATCGCACTTAATCGATTAATCGCACGGCCTATACCTATAATTATTTTCATGATTATGAAATATCCAAATGATTGAGTCATTTTGATTCGATTACAAACTGTTTGGGTCGCGAAAAATTTGTGATCGACTCAGGTCTATATTTGTTCGCCGACACAGCTAAAAGTTTGCGAAACCGAGAGCCGCAACGAATAGGTATTTTATGACTACCTAATATCCATCAAACGTGCCAGTTTTTCATTTGCATTAAATGAAAATAAGCTATTAAAGTTTAGTACATCTGTATTAAAATAGTTACTTACCATCCATTTCCAAAACTACACATATGTTGCCACTTTTAATCACTACAAACAATGTTCCTGATCGTGACCTGACGTTAGATTTTAAATGTAAACTAAAACCAAAAGCAAACCAAACTCGATAGAAAGAAAGAAAAGCATAGACAACTATTCCTTACGAAATGTATCGTGCTTTGAACGCCAATGACTTGATATGAAGTAAACAGACTACGTTATGAAATGAATAGTGAAGTGGCTAATGTTACGAATTATTATTATTATCTCTAGCAACTCTATGCATGTATCTTCATCTCTGATAACGGATACCCATTTTTCTTAGTATAAATGTTCATAAAATAAAACAAATTACCATTATAACTTAACAGTTTGTATTTTTAATTGTAAATTTGAGTACCAATTTAAATTTACACATATTTTTTTCATTATCGACATGATGTTACCGCCATCCCTACTTTCGTACTATACATTTATTATACATTTATACGTTGGCGTACGGCGACACATCGTGTTTAGTATAGCTGGGCGGCGAAAAGGTTAATCACCGCGTTCGCTCAATGCGGGCTGGCGATTACAAACTTATAATTAGAAATTATAAGTCCAGGTTTCCCCACGATGTTTTCCTTCACCGTTTGTCAGTGGGGTCTAAATAATCTTAGAAAGTACATATTTGTCGGAAAACGTCACATTAATACTTTCCGTTGTTAACTTTTTTTATGAGAAGCGGGCGTCTTAAACCTCCGGGTCACCACGACATAAAACTGAGAACCTAACGGGTTACCGCGGCTTCGGGAACGGGGTGGTTTTTAGTCAGTAAGAGTCTGACACTCCCTCCTGCCTCACCCAGGCGGGAGCAGTCTTTCGATGATTTTCCCCCCATAAAAAATCCCTTTGAATGACTTAATAATTTAAAGGGATGATACATTGACACCTGTACACAGATCGTAACCTAATAAATAAATAAAAAGCTATTTATTTCTTACAGGTAATTTTACAAATTACTCTTGCTGTTAGTATTGTTAGTGTAAATTATAATCTTAAAGTTAATGTTGGTTAGTTTGCATCCTGTAAGAACTCCTATTGGGTAAATGCCTCCTCCAAAGCATTCCAGTTTTCTTTATCCTGTGCTACCTACTGTAGTTCACTGAGGGCCCGCTATTTTCTTAATATCTTCCCAACGTGTCGTGGGTTTTTCCGATATGTCGCTTGCCTAGTGGGCCGTTCCAGGTTGTTATATGGTCGTAACCTAATTATCAAATTTCAATTACAGAGGACCTCAAAAAAGTTTACCTGAAACTATACAACCTCTTCCAATTCGTCGGCTACATGTACGTGTTGACTGTGATGGCGATTCGGTACGCCAAGTTGGACTACGACTCGGTGGCCGATACTTATGAACATGTTGGACCGGCCATGAAGTTCCTGCAGCTGCTCCAGTATTTGGAAGTCATGCATCCTTTGTTTGGGTATACTAGGGTGAGTGTTTTAGAATTTTTTTTTTTAGTTATTGTTATATTAGAACCGAAACAGAAGGACTTGTTTAAACTCTTAATCGATGAGCATAATATGTGAAAATAACTTTTATTAAAAACAAAGAAAATAGAAATCGAACTTCTGTATGACTTTTCTAATACTATCCTATGATTGAAGTAATTGGGGTTTCGAAACTATAGTTTTGGTTTTTTAACGTTGCCCCACACTAGGATTTTCTTCTGTGTCGTGTGTGCGTTCACAAACATACAAGTTCACATACACATGATACCCAGACCCGAAACAACTATTTGTGGATCACACAAAGAGTAGCTCCGTGCGGGAATCGAACCCGCTACACGTTGCGCGGCAGCCAGTTCTAGTTTACATAGATAATAGAAGTAAGGAAATAAATTGTCTATTATCAATCTGCAATTCATTCCTTTTATTTAAACATACTATAAATACTGCCTCGCTTTTAGAGAAATTAAAGACCTAATGTAACGTTTCCTTTCCAATAATTCCAGGGTGGTGTACTGGTGCCTTTCCTGCAAGTGAGTGGGCGAGCATTCGTGTTGTTCGTAATGATTGAAGCTGAGCCCCGCATGCACACGAAACCTGTCGTCTTCTACCTGTTCGTTATGTGGAGCATGATCGAAGTTGTCAGGTGAGATAACATGACATTATTGACTAATTCAAAAGAATTTTAGAAAATATTCTACACTTCCAAAGGCTCTCATCCTTATCTCCTTATACTATTATAAATGGGAAAGTGAGTTTGTTTGTTTGTTCCACTTTCACGCCGTAACTTCTAAACCGATTGCTTTGAATTTTTGCAGACGTAAAGTTAGAAGTCCGGAATAAATAATAGGGTACTTTTTATCCCGGAAAATTTTGATATTCCCGAGGGAAAACAAAAGAATTGGTATAAATGGCGCTGTGTGTATTGGTATATGTCACATAGGCTACTTTTATCCTTTTGTGACGCGAGCGAAGCCAGCGAGAATATCAAACTTTTCCGGGATAAAAATTACCCTATTATTTAGTCCAGACTTCTAACTTCACGTCTGCAAAAATTCAAAGCAATCGGTTTAAGTAGTTACGGCGTGAAAGTGGAACAAACAAACTCACTTTCCGATTTATAATATTAGTAAGGATTCTCGCGACCTCATTCACGAGGTAGAAGTCGTAAGACTATGTAAAAAGCCGCCAGTTGAAGTCACTATGAAATAGAATAATTATAAAATGTTATCGATCTAACATAACATAACGACTTTTTATCCCCGGAGGGGTAGGCAGAGCTGCACATTACGGCAGCCACTTTTCACTATTTATGTTATGAGTCCCATGCAATAGGGAGTGAGCCTATTGCCATATACCGGGCACAATCCCAGACTCCGCGTGCAACGAGGCAGTCGATGTTAATCATTGTTTAGGTTTCAAATAAAGATTAATCATTTTATTTGTTTTAACTTCCAGGTACCCCTACTACATATCACAGCTCTACAAAAAGGACTTCTACATCCTAACCTGGCTGCGCTACACAATGTGGATCCCTCTCTACCCAATAGGCATCATCTGCGAAGCCATAGTCATTCTACGTAACATACCATACTTTGAAGAAACTCAACGATTCACCGTCTCTTTACCAAATGAATGGAACTTTGCTTTCCATATGCCAACCTTCCTCAGGGTATACCTTCTCTTCCTAACGTTCCCTGGAATGTACTTCGTTATGAGTCACATGCACAAACTCCGTACCGTTAAGTTGAAGCCAAAGATTGTCATTAAGAAATCCAAATAAGGAAGGCTGCACTCACTATTATATATGTGTTACTATTATATAAATGTAAAACTGCCCTACTAAAAAAGAGTGTCCTTGGTATTGCACCAATTATTTTCAATAAAATACCAGATGCCATTAAATGTTTGCCGATACATAAATTTAAACAATCTCTTCAGATGCTATTACTTGAAAAATGTTACTACAGCGTAGATGAATTTATATGATATTTGCATTGATTGTGAGTTTCAATTTATTTGTTTTTCTTTATAATTATTATCTTCTTTTTTTGTAAGTATAATTTAATTTAGCCTGAATGTGGACATATTGTTTATTATCTTGTTATCTATAATATTTATAATAATGACATCTTGTTTATAATTTTGACATATTTTGTTCACCAATTGACATAATTTAAACTGTTTGACTTGTGATTTTTAAATTATTATTTTTATTCATTTACATTATAAATTTTTTTTTCATTCAAACTTTGACATTTGATTTTGTATAATTATTGATTGTAGATTGGTATTATCTGCCTAAAGTAATGATTTAGTACGCCATCAATGGCAAAACATGTAGACTCTATACTAACCAAAAAAACACCTTCATTGTAATTACTCATGTTTTACTAAATAAATATATCTATATCTATATCTATATCTATATATCTATATCTATATCTATTACATTTTTAATATTCTATTCTAAGGTATATGGGGTAATACTTGTTTTAGTCCAATTTAAAAAAAAAGCATTTATGGTCGCGGATAGTAATTAGGATTGGTATTTTTACATTAATTAGGTAATATGGCTTCATTCGCGAAGGACGCTCGAGTAGTTACAAGCCACTGCTCTCACTTATGAGACCCCGTCGGGGCTTGAAACGAGTCGAGCATCCATTTCGAATAACTTACGTAAATATGCCATAATCTAATTAATGTAGTATAACCTCACGATAGTTCGATAGACAAATACATTTTTACTTTGCATTGTTATTAAGATTATGCTCAAAATCTGTTCTGTGTCAATCGATTGTTCACCAAAGATTACAAATATATTGCAATTTTTACCTGTACATGTGAGTCGGCCATTTTTCCTGCCATTTAGCCTTTTCAGATTAGTATAGACTTGTTTAGCTTTGTAAAATATAGGCAAAAAATCAATAGCCGGTGTTTTGAACATTCAGTATTGTGTATGTGCATAATTGATTAGCAATTTTGCATATTACTAACATATTTATTGGATAATCTAGATATGGTCTACACTCCTATAAAACTGAGGTATTCTGTAGTATTTTATGGAAAATATAGATATTATTATTATTTATTGAAAATGTCAATTTATTGCTGGTATTAAATGTGGTTACAAATTAGTTATTTATATTTGTTATAACTTTCGTGAGACGTGCTATATTAATTATTATGTTTTTCTGGTTCACTCACGTAATTAATTGACGAGGAACTCGACACTAACTAGATGCAGATGGGTCTCGCATGAATGACTATGATAGGATAATATAGGCCTTTAGCATGGCTTGAAACTAGTCGAGTTCCTCGTCAAATAATTACATGAGTAAGCCGATAAACATAATACTTATTTATAATGCAATATTTATCTAAATAATCAAGTAATAATGTTCACAATTTCTTTGAAAGCCTAGTTAGCCAATTATGTCGCAATTTTATGAACTTCCATTTTTGATATAAAATTAGTCATGGAAACAATTTAATTATGATAATACGAGTCTTATGTCCCTTTTAGACTTTAAGACATATATTAATATATACGTAGATATAATAATTGTACATAGTTGTTGCATTCTGAGTGGGTTTCATTGGAAATTGAGCTTTATGTCCATGTCATACAGTTGCCAACAGCTTGCACCACCAAAAAGCAACATTTTTATCATGGAATATGGTGTTAAGGAGCTTACATTAATATGATTTGCGGAAGTAATTTCATTTCGATGAAGCGATGAATTTATTTAAAAATTGTGTTATTGATTTATTGATATGGATAATATTTAGTAATTTTGAAATTTATTCATGTCAGTAAAAGAATAATGAGAGATGTGAAGTGATAATTTATAAGTATTTAATATTTATGTTTACATTTTTGTATACTCGACGGTATGGTGACAGTAATAAATGTTTTGTTAATAAAATTGAATATTGTTTTACTTCTGGAAGTATTCTGGGATAACTTGAGAGATGTTCTTAATGAATGTAAAGAGAATGAAAGAATAATTATGCTTGGAGATTTTAATGGATGGGTTGGAGTGGCACGCGATGGGTACGAAAGAGTATTAGGGCGATTTGGAGACGAACGAGTGAACGAGAATGGTGTATGTCTTCTGGATATATGTGTAGAAAAGGAACTTGTTGTGACCAACACAACATTTGGTCACAAGAAGATACACATGTATACATGGCAGAGGCATACAGAAAGAAGTATGATTGATTTTGTGATTGTTGATGAACGCCTGAGGACAAAAGTGAAGGATACAAGGGTTTACCGTGGCACGAATGTCGGAAGCGACCACTTCCTAGTAATTACCAGAATAGCTGGACTGACAATGAAGTGGAGACATCGGCCACGGGTAAAGTTGCCTGGAACCGAGAGAGTGAGAGTTGAACGGTTGAGAGAAGAGGAAGTTAGGGACCAGTACAGGAAATTATTAAATGAAAGGTTTAGGGAGCTAATGAAAGGTGACGAATGGAATATAGAAGAATTTTGGAAGGAATTTAAGGATGGAGTGATCGCAGTAGCTACTCAAGTATGTGGGGTAAGCAAGAAAAATAACACTGGAAGCAAGAGGAATGAATGGTGGGATGATGAAGTAAAAGAGGTGATAGAGCAAAAGAAGAAAGCATGGCTTGACTTATTAGCCTCAAAGGCAAATAGGAGAGTGCTAGAAAGTATGAAAGAAAAGTACGTAAGTCTCAAAAAGAGAGCAAAAGCGGTAGTTAGCAAGAAGAAAAATGAATGCAAGGAAAAGTTTGAAAGGAATTTTTCGCAGAACTTTCGAGCCAACGCTAAACTATTCTGGCATTTAGTTAGAAGGGCCAGAGGCAAAGTGGGGGACTCGAAAGTAAGTACGATAAGGGATATAAATGGGAGTGTCATTGGAGAAAGTAAGGATGTTTTAAAGCAGTGGAAGGAATACTTCGAGAATTTATTTGAAAGGAGTGATTTGAAAGAAGAGGAAGTAAACGATGAGAATGAAAGTGCTAATGTGGGAGAAATAAATATGGATGAAATTGTGAGTGCCATTAAGAGTTTGAAAGTAGGTAAAGCAGCGGGATGTGATAGGATAACTTCTGAAATGCTAACAGAGGGTGGAGGTGTAATTGCAAGCCTGCTGTATCTACTTTTTAATAAGTGTTGGCGGTGCGGTCGTGTCCCGGGAGACTGGGCCAAGGCCGTAATTGTGCCACTATATAAAGGAAAAGGATCACAGCAGGAGTGCAAAAATTATCGCGGTATAAGCCTCCTAAGCGTAGTAGGAAAGTTGTATGCCAAGGTATTGATCGAAAGAGTGATGGATGTAACTGAGCGTAAAATCTGGGATGTGCAAGCGGGATTTCGAAAGGGAATGGGGTGTACGGATCAAGTCTTTTCGTTACGGTGCATTTCAGAGAAAGTGTTATCAAAGCACCAAAAGGTATTTTGTGCCTTTATAGACCTAGAAAAGGCTTATGACAGAGTGGTGAGGGATGAACTGTGGTCAACTCTGTCCATGTATGGGGTGGATAGCCACCTGATTCGGGCACTTAAATCCTTATATAAGGACTCGAGTGCCTGTGTCAGAATAAATGGGGACTACACGGAGTGGTTTGACATTAATCGCGGTGTTAGGCAAGGCTGTGTAGCATCTCCTTGGCTGTTCAACCTATTTATGGACAGTTGTTTGAACGACCTGAAAGTAGGAGAGCCTGGATTAAGGATGAATGACACAGTGATTAAAACATTGTTGTATGCCGACGACCAGGTGCTTGTTGCCTCGTCGGCCCAAGAATTACAACAAATGGTCACTGCTATGAGTGATGCATTTGAAAGGAAAGGTATGAAAATAAATGTGAACAAGACGAAAGTGTTGGTGATAGAAAGAAATGAGGTGATAACAGAATGTCAGGTAATGATAGGTGATGAAAAATTGGAACAAGTGAATGAATTTGTGTATCTGGGATCACTATTTACGAGAGATGGAAAGTGTGACGGGGATATTGAAAGGAGAGTGAAAGCGGGAAATAGTGTTAATGGTGCTTTACACTCTGTAATGTCGAGTAAAATAATATCCAGCAAAGCTCGACTTGCTGTAATGCAGTGTGTATTGACACCAACGCTTATGTATGGTAGTGAATCATGGGTGTGGCAGAAGAAGCATGAAAGCAGGATTAATGCGGTGGAAATGAGAGCCCTGAGAAGTATGTGTGGACTAAAATTGAGTGATCGAGTGAAAAATAGTGTTATTAGAGAGAGGTGTGGATTGAAAGACGATGTAGTGACAAGGATTGAAAAGGGAATGTTACGCTGGTTTGGACATGTAGAAAGGATGGATGAAAGTAGAGTAACGAAAGAAGTATACAGAGCGGATATGAATGGAGCCGTCGGTAGAGGGCGCCCTAGACGGACATATAGTGACCAGATTGGCGATATATTAAAGAAGGGCCAAATTAAAAGTACCCTTAACCGACGAGCATGCATGAAAAGATTGATGACTGTTAATGAAGCGAAAGAGGTATGTAAGAATCGTAGTAATTGGCGTTCCTTAGTCTCTGCCTACCCCCATGGGAGACAGGCGTGAAGTTATGTATGTATGTATGTATGTTTTACTTCTTTTTTTCTAATAAAGTTTTGCCCCACACTAGGATTTTCTTGCGTCGTGGGTACAAGTTCACAAACATACAAGTTCACATACACATCACACCCTGACCCTAAACAACAATTTGTGGATTACACAGAGTTGCTCCGTGCGGGAATCGAACCCATTACACGCTATACCGCGCTAATCGTAACTGCACGGTTGGCGCGGTGGCTGGGCTGCAGAAATTGATTATTCATACATATATAAGTATATATATTTAGTTTGTCGGCTATAGCCGACCGCGGCGCGACAAAGAACAACACTAATTCTTTGAAATAAAATTTAATTTTTAACACTATAGGTTCCATTTTTTCAATACCACATAAATTTTAACTGAGGAATAACTTTGAATGTTTAACAATATTCTTCCATACTAAAAACTGTCAATGTCAATTTTATTCAAGAATTAAATTCTGTTAAGTAATAACGGATGATTGATCCCCACAATCTTTTACACAAATAAAACACGCAATCTCATCCTATGTTTTATTGAAATGAAATCAACCTACAAATCAATACACAGTAACCACACTCGTACGTAACAGTAACATATTAACTTTACGCAAGGTGATAAGATCAGCCTGCTGCAGCCAGCATTACCTTCTTAAGAGCGCAGCTTGAGGTATGCACGTTGGAACCACTCCCAGGGCCTGGAGTGAGCGTAGTACTCGTGGAAGATTGGCTCAACCAGAGTGTCGGGGGGAAGGAGTTTGTACACCTTCTCACCGTAGTAGGTGCCCACCTGGAAAGGGATAAGACCTTAAGTTAACTTTTCTAAATTAAAGATAGACATTTATTTGCGTAAATATGATATACAAAGATTTTATAGCTATAATATAATAGATCATCATGGTTTGCTTAATAAAGTATGGAAATTTTAACTAACTTATGCTCTTTGTTAAAGGTTATATATTAATTGTGTTCAAAAAATTCCTTAACTCGTTGAAAATCATCCCCTAAATTTGTTCATACAAAAGTAGTCGCTAAACATTGGAAATAAGGTCTATAATGTAGTTAGCGAAGAGAGGTCACCGGTGATCGCTTGGGGATATATGGGTGCTATAAAAGTTATTTTCATTCAACCATACACATAATTTAATTTAAAACAGTCTGAGGTTGACTATTTCTAATATACTCGGCAATTGATTAAACATTCATACACACATAGCTCGTCTAGTACTCGTCTGTGATGGTCGCGTCGACTTCTCAAACATACATCTTTTGCCGTTTTGAACAGCCTTTTATGTTTACGTATGAATATACACACTTTACATAAGTACAATTGAGAAATGATAAAATTACAAAACTAAGTGTACTACCGAGTGTGGTAATTAATGCTCAAACCTTCTTCGTATGGGAAGTGGCCTTTGGTCAACAGTGGCCGTTGATGAATGAGAATGGAAGAAATAAGACTAATGTGATCTCAAGTTACTGGTAGATTAAGGAAGGGACTTAAAATGAGGGTGTTGGGTTAGTTCTTCTACAGAAGTTATTAAAAAAGAGGGACAATAATTTGCTAGTTTAAAATATTTCAGTTTAATCAAAGTTATGGCTTTGGTCCAGGTTGTTGTTATTTTATCTCATTGTAGGATAAATTAGTATAGGTACATTATGAATAGTCATGTAGTTTTAGTAACATGATTCTTACTAATCACTTGATAAAAATATTAATCTACAATAAGAGTATAAAGATTTTTTATGTAACATTGTAGTGCAATCTGCTCCTTACCTCCCATCCGGGAACATCCTTCATGAGTTCAGCCTCCGCATCACGGTTCTTACGGAGTTGCTTCAGGAAAGCCCTGTCTCTTTCGGCCAGCAGCATCGGGTATATAGCCATCCGGGCAGAACGCATCTCAATTTGATCTCTTAATATTTGTTTGTAGTTCAGGCTATAGAGGTACATTGCGAATGCTGTTATACCAAAGTAGCCAGCAAACATAGTATACCCTGGCAATACAAACACATTTTTAGTAACTATGTAAATCTTTACATTTGAGAACATCTTAATGGTTAAATTTTCGATTAAGTGGTGAAGATATCCTTCAAAATTTTGTTTTATCACAATAATCAATAAAAAATAGAGGTCATTAGCAGGGTGTTTACAATGTAATACACATATCCTGCATTCATTATATTGTCACTTTTTTAATGTTTTGCATCTAATAAGAATTATTTCAGGTAAAAAACTGACAGAAGAATGAACAGAGGAGTACAGAAAACAAAACAACCTAACCTAAAAATGCAAGTTACATAATCTGATATTAGTCTAGTTTACAGAGTAAATTTTGCAAAAGTTATATTATACTTACCGCTAAATAAGGTTTTAGCAGGTATTCTTTTGTAAGGGATTGGTTTGTAGCCCCCCGGAGGGGGCAAATCTTGTTTACGGGCTACCTGACAAGCCTGATCCATCTTTTGATTTGACAGATTCAGGATTTGACATAACACTAAAATCAACAGCTGACTGACAGTTCTCAAGACGTTTCAATTCTCACAAAATCTCAATCGATTGCTTGATTTTGGAGACCATTATTTTAGTAAAAAACAAGTTTAAAACAATTTTAGAATATTCGTAATCATAAAAATAGCAAATATATGCTAGAAACTGTGGTCAGTATAATACCCCCACAGATATATTACTCCACTTGCACGTGATGTAGCAAGGTACTCGGTATGTTTCTATTAAAGCTTTTTGTATGTAATGTGTAACTAACATAACAATGAGTTTCTCTAGCAACTAATAACAGTATCTTTTGACAAGCTTTTAACCGACTTCATGTGTTAAAAAACCATTTTTCACGTAGCAAAAACCTACGGTTAATAAAAATGAACGCTCAGAACAGTGATGCAGGCGTTCAAGCTGATATTCCTGAACAACAACATGAAGAAAACACTTTGAAAATTAGACCTTTAGAGAGGATAAAACTTTATCCGAAAGCCCCTATTGAACAGAGTAGTTATGGCAAAGGAAAGAATTTTAGCCGACCATGGATCCTACAAGATGGACGTGAAGCTCCCGACAAAGGAAGTGAAATGCGTCGCTCTTATCAAATCCCTAAAAAACCACATCGCGGGGAAGGTATTCGCATTGCTCTTCAATTATTGGCAGGAACTTATTTTTATAATGTTGAGCCCAGAATTTAACCTGAAACGCTTAGACTTATAACTGCCCAGAGTCCATCCTCATTTATTTTTATTTCCTGTTCTGTCTAGGTATTCGAAAGAGAATGTTAACTGATTTCTTTTGGGAACAAATGCTGGACGAAGTCATCGATGAGTTGGCTACGACTCAACCAGTTTCTGAATATTGTACGGAATATGACGCTAATTATATCAAAGACGAGTTTGAACCTCGTAATTTGGAAATCACTGCTGATAGAACTGTAAGATATTTTTGTTAGATAAAATATAGGTTATTGAGTAATTTTTGATGCTTTACCTACTTGTATGAATGAGTACTTATATGAATTTGGACTTTCAGATGCATCTCAAATATCCGTTGTACGGAACTGGATCCAGTGCTATTACTTTTTACAGCGAGACAATAAAGAAAACTGGTCCAGTAAGTAACTTTTTCTAAATTAATTTTAGTATAATTATGTTTTGTTTATCACGTCTAATCATGGGCTATTTTCATTGCAGGGTGAGATTTTAGAGAAGTTTCGGAAATGCCAATACTTTACTCGTCCAATGGAAGAGCGATTGGATGACGGCTGGGTTTTGTAGATAGTTTAACTTACTTACTTAGCTTAGCTTTTGCTATTTTCAAGTTAAATTATGTCGTATTTAATAAATTCTTCATTTCAAATAATATTATATAATAATTATTTCAAAAATAAAAAGCTTTATTTCAATGCTTTCTATGTGTAAATGTTTTTCAAGTCCCGTTCTGATGAATTGCTAATCGCCATCTTGAAGGCGCTTTTATGCAAACGAACGAGACTTTATAAATGACTATCTATTTATACCGGTAGGTAGATAAGTACATTACCAACGCCAGTAAATGAAAAGAAAAAAAAACACATTTTCTAAATGAAAATAAATATACTGAAGAAAAAACACACCCACATCACACACAACATAATTGAATAAAACAAACAAAATTAAACAAATCATAGCGGTTACATTTTACGAGTTAACCTTAAAATAGTAGGTCATCATCATCCCAGTTGTGTGGATAGCAGACGGGCTTGAAGTCGCCCGAGTCCGTGGTAGTGGTGGTCAATGAGGAGCACGCAAGAATGCTGGTCAGGCACTCTACAGAATGGTGACGAGGGGGCGCACCTGGCTCTGCTTCTGTATAATAGAATAATATTTTAAATGTATTGCATTCGAATTTTCTCCGATTGTGTTTGGTCACATGAAAAGCCTGGCCCCAGCTAGGCTAGGCTTCTCGTGTGTCGTGCTTTCGAGTGCGTTTCCGAACATACAAAACTTACACATCCAGCATACGCACACGCAGACTAGAAACAACGATTTTTGGATCACATAAAGATTTATTTTGTGTGGGAATCGAACCCGGGACACGATACCCAGACAATGCATGCGTCATTCATTTATAAGAGGATGTCATTGACTTATGAAAGTTATTATTACTATCACTATTTAGTATAAAACAAAGTCGCTATCCGCTGCCTGTCTGTCCCTATGTATGCTTAGATCTTTAAAACTACGCAACTGATTTTGATGCGGTATTTTTAAATAGATAGTGATTCTTAAGGAAGGTTTATATGTACAATACATGCATATTGCACCCGTGCAAAGCCGGGGTGAGTCGCTAGTTAATCTATAATGTATGATACCATCAGCTTCTCCTGTTTCACCACCTCCTCCCGCGCTGACCGTCTGCCGTAGGAATGCGCGCGCCTGACTTTTAACCTTCTTCGCTTTCACCATTTTCAAACGATGGAATTCTTCTCTCTCCTATTTTAACAAAAAAGAGATATTGTGCGTGTACCTTTTCAAGGTTTCTGTGTAGGTAGTTATTATGTATGTAAATTGTAAATCAAGAGTTACCCTTTCATCCATTTCCATCATAATATAGGTTTCAGTGTTGCGTAATTTCGGCATAATAACTTTTTCAATACCATTCACTTTCCTGTTGAATTCATTATAAAATTACAGCTAAGTAATGCTGGAATACTGATACGTTACTCAATTTTAAGTCGTGCTTAAATATCGTGCCATCTCTGTCATTTTACAAAGAATTTGTAGAGACAGAACTATACTTAAGCGCGACTTAAAATTGAGTAGCGTTTCAGTATTATAAGAGTCTCATTTTAAACCCAAACAATAATATTAGCTAAGATTTCACCTTAAAGTAGACCTAATGGACTCATCCAATAAGATACAGGTGTTTCTCAAAGAGGCAAACTTGACCAAGGTCCGGACAGCCTCTCTGAAAGCTTTCTTGGCCTCAGTAGTGCGATGCCCACCGGCTCCAAGGCCAGCATAGCGCATCGAGTCGCATACCCCAGTCTCTTCTAGAGCTTGGAGGGAAATTGTCGACACCCCTGATATGTTCTCCGATATACGTTGCACTCGAATTTGAGCCTGTATAAATGATTGATGACAATTAAAGGCACATTAAACATTTTTGGCAACTGTAGCTAACTATAGGTAAAATGGATTTTAATAAATTAAATTAAATTTTATAAAAAAACTATTTGTCATGAATACATAAATTATGGACAGGATGTTAATAAAATTACTATTACTGCTAATATCACCATGAATTAGCATAACATCACGCCTTTTATCCCCGAAGGGGTAGGCAGAGGCGCACATTATACCACTGTACAATGTAACACCCACTTTTGACTATTTATGTTATGAGTCCCATGTAATAGGGGGTGAGCCTATTGCCATATACCGGGCACAATTCCAGACTCCGTGCTACTACTGAGATTTTTAAAAAACCCTGTAATACTTTGTTCGACCCGGGAATCGAACCCGAGACCCCTTGCCCGGCAGTCGCACTTGTGACCACTCGGCCAACGAGGGAGTCACCATGAATTAGTTTTGGGCAAAATTGAAATGTCGATACTTGAAATAACCGTCCATAAAAAAAATTCGTAACATTTCGTGCGTTCAAATATATTTTTTATAAGTATTATCTTACTTGGCCAATATTCTCAAGCACCAATGCATTGGACTCGCCATTAGTAAACTTTATAGCAGCCAAAGATATGTATGCTTCTCTCAGGATATGGCCTAGAATGGCCTGCGTCGAAGCCAATTCTGAGGCCGCCTGTCTACCCCTGATACGAAGAGCTTCAGCCTTCCTCTTCAGGAGTTGGTACCCACGGTTCACTTGCTCCTGTCTATGCTTTATTTCTTTCAACATAAACAAAGACGCAGTCACAGGATAGCGATTCTCAGTATTCATTTTCGAAAAAGATTTTCGACAATTTCTATGATATCGTCTTTCAAAGAATGCCAAATTATCAAGGACAATGACTTGGTGTAAAAGTAAAAACAAATGTCAGGTTTCGTACTAGAAACTTTTTGATATTAAAAATTGTATTTGACATTATCTACTTGTGTGGCGCTAGTGTGGCGTAAGGTCTCATTTTTTTTTATAATATCAAGTCAACTATCAGTCAATTATTTACATCTACATTGTGATTGGACGATAAGGACCTTATGCCTCATCAGTGCACATTACAAATCGAGCTTTTATGAATGTAGAATTAATTATGTAGATTGTAGTGAAGATATCTTGTGCTCTCGAAAAATATATTATAATCACTGTGTTATTGGATACAATAATAGTTCACGACTTTTAACACTATTCAGTAAAATGATACAAGGAAAGTTATTGTCAAATCATAAAGATACCACACAATAGTGATGGATTCGATTAAACGAAAAAAAAGAAACGATTTATAATAAATTCATATATCACTTTTACAAAAAAGAAAATACTTGTATATATCGATTCGAACAGACTTTATTATACATTCGATGGTTAATTTTGTTAGGCACTATTGCGTTACCACGCTGAAAGATCAATTTTACTGAATCGAATTAAAAGTCGGAATATAGTGGCCTTTTCCTGTCGTGCAGGTATTCGTCCACATTGTGATCTAGTTTGTGAGCGAACAGTTCGATTCTATATCTTACATGTTTTTTTTTCTATCATCGAACTGTACGCTATTTTGTGAACTTCCGCAAGACAGCAAAAGTGCTAAAACTACTTATGTGAAAGCCTCATTTTATAATATGCTATTGTTCAACGTTAACAATCACATTCAAACCACTGCTATTGATATTACACTGGTATACAAAGGGAATTATTTAAGTTAAGACAACACTTTCCTTACAATAAAACGAAAAAATATAGGAAATACTCATTATTTGTCTAAATTCTAAAATATTTCTTTACATTTTATAAATGTATATTATAAAGCAGTCTCTCTTATTACAAATTATTCTATTGTTATCACTGGTCAAATTCAGTCCCAATAATACTTTCCAAGTCTCAGCTGTCCGGCCAATAATTATAACTTCCCGAGGGAGGGGGGACGGGCATGGGCGGCCCGTTAGGGGGCGGCCCTGTGCCCGCACTGTAGGGGGACCCTTGTGGGGACCCGTACCGCGGCCTGAACCACGGTCTGCTCGTGTACTGGTACTGGTTACTCGCGTAAGCTGCCAAGTTCTGTCCCGTGGCGTTTGGGTAAGGATTCTGTGGTGATTGGTTTGGTGCGAACGCAACGTTCGGCATGTTAGGGAGATTCGCTGTCGGATACGTCTGCGGCGCCGGCGTCGTCGACGGGGAGAACGACGTCTGAGAGTTCTGTGATGTTGGCGTGCTCGGTGGTGCATACGTCTGACTCGAGTTTGGGGTCGACCCGTTCGTCGGGTTGTAGGTGGGAGGCGGTTGTGTAGTGGGTGTCTGACTCACATACGCTGTTGTCTGGCTTCCATTCGACGTACCGTACGTCTGAGTGCCATTCTGGTTGGCCGGTGTAAACCCCGTCGTCTGCGTCGACTGTCCGTCTGATGTGAATGTCTGTTGATTTTGCACTGTTCCCGTCAATGTGTACCCATTATCTTGTGATGAAGACGTAATGTAATTAGTTTGACCGTTAGCTCCGTTCGTTTCAGTTTCTGTGGACGTAGACTGTCCGTTGCCATTAGTTGGCGTGGTCTGTGAGACAGGTATACTGTATTGTACCGTCGCATTGTTTGTAGGTACTGTGATGGTTCCTGAGTTGCCTTGCATCATGTACTGCTGAGGTAGCCCAGTGTACTGTGAGGTGGGCGTTATGAAGGAGTTTGGAACTATTTGTTGCAATGGAGGCTGTGTGCCGGGGATCGTCTGCGATGGATTCGTCAAGGGCGACGACGGTGGCGGAGCTTGCACAATAGGGATGGTGCCTAGACTAGGATTCAGTTGATGTCCTGCGAGAGCTGCGTTCAGTTGTTGGGCGGATAGCTGCGTGTTGAGGTTGATGCCAGTGGGCATATACTGCGAGGTAGCGGGCATGTTCATGGGCATTAATGGCACGTTATACTGCACTCCGGCGGGCATGCCCAGCTGGTTGGGTTGCATGACGGTGACATTCTGTCCAGGCTGGAGGACTTGTTGGAAGCCTGGAGGGAGAGCACTCTGCATGAGGTTGGGATGGTTGGCAGGTATCATGTACACCTGGCTGTTGGGCGGGCCAAGCATTGTCGGGACTTGGCTTATGTTCAAGGGGTTCTGCAATACTGTCATGCCTTGTGGTACAGTGATCATTTGTACGTTTTGTGCAGTGTTCTGGACTTTACTGAGGTCTTGTTTCTGCCCGTCTTTGCTTGTTTGTATTTGTATCGCGTTTCTATCAATCTGTCGAATGTACATTCCCGTAGCGTCTGGGCCTAGACCGGGAGATGAGACACTGTAAACAAAGAAAAGTAGGATCAGTATTAGTAGCAGTAAAAAGGTCTTAGAAATATTTATGAATGTTAATTTGAAGTTTTCTTACTTCGTCTGTTGTCCCGAAGACACTTGTATGATAGTCCCATGTGCTGGATTGATTTTCATTCCCATGCTAACGATGGTGCTGTCCTTACCTGTAGAATATTTCAAGTTGTAGTTCACATTCTGTAAGTTTATATAGTCGCTTTGCTTTTTACGCATCATATTTGCTACTGTTAGTTTATTGATGTTTTACACGCATTGCCAAAAAAATACGTTGAAACTCCCCACAGTTGATCAACCTGTAAAGATATTAGTCTAGTTTTTAGTTACGCATTAATTACTACGCAATGACCTAGTTTCGCAAAAAGCTAAAAATACGCAAAGAGCATCGCAAAAATGTTGTATTTTGTGACGCACAATAGCTAATATCTAGGTAGCTTTAATATTTAACCGTCAAATGTTCCAAAATTACGCTCTGCAAATATTAGTCAGTAATTCTGCAAGCTATAAAATTACTGTCACTGCGTGTCCTCTAGAACTCACTGCAAAAAGAAGTAAAAAAGACATTAATCTTCTCTGCCCGGGATTTTCATAAGGATATATCTGCTGTGCTATTCCGCATTAGCATAATTCTGTAAGAAAAGGTTTTAGTAAAATAGCTATCATGCAGTTTGTTGCTGGTAGAGATGAAGAATGTGATGATGAAGAAATAATGTTTTCCATAATGGCAATCGGGAAATGAAAAAGTTTATGAAATATGTTCATCAAGTAATTTCATTGGTAAGCAATATCTTTTATTGACTTACAAAGTAACTAATATTGGGCCCGCACTGCCGCAGACTTGAGTAGCCAGTAGCAGCGCGACAGTCGCCGCGTTGCGGGTCGCGGAATGCTGCTCATAAATATGAGCCTCTAGCATGGCTTGAAACTAGTCGAGATACAAGTACGTGAGTAAACCGAAAACATAACAATTAATTTAGGATGTCTCGCGAAAGTTATAAAACAAACATAACTAATTTTGAAAATGTTTTTTTAAACTGTAGCTATTTGTCTGCACACAGTATGAGAAATTTCAAATCAAATCCAGTTACGCAAGTAGTTCATACAAAGTCAAGTTTTACGCTACATGTTAAGTGTGTTATAGTTGTTTGTCTATAACCGAAACGTTATAATTATAATTAACGATTATTTGCAGTTTTATAAACCGGTTAAGTAATTAAATAATAAATCAGTACTAACAAGGATAAAGGAAATTATAGTTTCATTTATTATTATTATTTACGCTAATGCTCACTTGTACTCCAATGAATGTGGAAAAATATTAAAGATTATTTAATTACGCTTTTAGTTTCAAGATCTGACATCGACTAACGTAGAGAAATTCGACCAATAAGTACTCTTGGATTAGGTGTACTCTCCATTCCATCTCAGTAAAGATCTGAAGTCTTATGACATGTCAAAGATGATGTAGGTCATTTCAAAACTTTTTACTACGCATACGCAACAAACAAAAGAAAACTTGTAAAGCCAATATTAATTATTTACGCACTACAATACGAATAGAAGAGTTAATTGAAATATTCTTCTGCGTAAACTACTCTATTCTATGCTTAAGGTGACCGGCTCCAGTGAGGTGAAACTCGTAGGCGTTCCTACAAGTTAAAAGAAAGCCCAAAAGGACTCAGACCCGCTTTCTCCTGACATCTGGATCAATTGTTTTAATACCAACCTTTTGTGGCTACATTTAAATCACATATCAATGCCAGCTAGCCATAAAATAGTTCTCTCTGTCAACGAGCTGGTCCTTGAGAACCTGTAAACGTAAAGATAAAAAGCAAAAGATTACGCAATGCAGCTGCTTTCTTACTGGTAAAATACAAAGAGAAATAAGCTGATCTAAAGACAATATTGCAGTAAATTCTAAAACAGCAGGTGAGGCAGCGATGCGGTAAAGGCAAAGACCTGTTGAATATAAAAGCATGCTGGATCGTGCGCTTTGAAGAAATAAATAAATTAACTATGCGACATATGAAACTAGAGTTTTACGCTTTGCTTTTACATAGATACAGATTAAGCAATCCTCAAAGAACAATTAAGTTGAAAATTTACTTAATTTAATTATCATATTTAACGGGTTACGGAACTGTTTTACGAGGTAGTTCGACTAGTTTCAAGTCAATTTAGGGGCTTATATCCATGAGCAGCATTACATTGTCAAAGTGACAATGTTTGTCAATGACGACGTTTCATCAGTACGGCTAAGCGATTAAGCCGATAAAAATAATAATTACTTAGTTCAATACTAATTAGAAATAGAGATAGCTTAATATGTATGTACCTATATGTACTACAAAAATAAACCCAGTAGAAACTTATAGAAATATAGAACAATATAAAATACCGTTGCATTTCGCCAGTTCCCTGTTTAAAAAGAAATATTTCGCAAAATGCTTCGTCGAAAACGTTTGAAGTATTTGTTT